GATCAGAACATGCGCGGTAGTCAATTGCTATCTAAAATACACTGTAGGACTGTGTATGAAATTGAAATGATTAGGCCAATCTGATTAAAACCATCTCTTACATGGCTCCGTTAGCTAGCCTACCGATATTTTTTGACATAAATTCTGATAAGAAAACGAGCATGCCTTCCATTAATATTAGCGGTTGCCTTGACACGTCATGTGAGGAAATCATGCCGATTCATTGAAAATATTACTCCAGAAGGAAGACGTGTGTTTTTAATCGTTAAAGCAATGGTTTCTCTATTCTCTATGCATTACAAGGTGATTTACTCGTGTCTACGTTGAAAAGTGTCAAAATCGGGGCATGCCGTCCTGACAGCATATGGTGCCGGCAATCGATCCAAAGTAAACAACTGACAACGACTGCTTTATATATAATATAGACCATTTTCGTTGAAAAGAATATTTGATTAAATATTTGTGTTTTTAGTTGTTTTTGTTTCTATGTAATTTGATTTCACCGCATGACTTGCTAGGCATGTGATTGTCACGTGATCGTAATTTACTTGGCGTGGAAAAATATTATGCCGCTAATCGGCCAAAATGTAACGCAACTTCTCGGTGCAAAATAGGTAAATCATGACCATTTATATCACATCTTTCATCTTATTTGCTGTTACATTACGATATCGTTAGCTAGGATGAAGTATAACGATAGTTCTTAGTTCTTGCTCGAATTTATTTGAAAGTGAGAGTAGAATTTACATACTGATCATTACGCCGACAAAATGAAATCTTTTCGATTTTTTTCAACAAGCTGATATGAATGACAAATAACAAATGATTTCATTTATTACTTCATCAATTTGTATTAATATTTTATCAGGTTTTCACATTAATCTATGTCTGATGATTATAGGGCATTTCACTTCCGGTTCAGACAACCTAAAAACGATCGAAAACAGTTTAATCGTTTTTTTTGTAATATATCGTTTATTATATTATTTTTCTCTGGCAAATAGAATATCATAATAAGTAACAGCGAACCATGATATAGACGTTTGTACCTGTAAGGTCAGTGGTCCGTAGTAGTAACAGGGTACAAGTGTTAAATTTAAAGTTTTTAATCCGAGAATCCTTTCTTGCATGATGGATAAACAGGTAGTTTTTTCTGGTAAAAATTGAAATACATGTAAATAAATACAAAAAACAATAAGTAATATATTCATGATTCTTTCCACTCTGGTATTTTACTTTTGAGAAAATGCAAGTTGGGAAAGTACAAGGTGGCTAGCCAAGACAGGTATCTAACTTAATTTTGTGCAACACTATATGGTTCAGATTACGGGAATGGTAGCACCTGTCCGAAAAAAAATGGATCCGCCCCTGGTCAGTTCTTAAGAAAATATTATTATCTGCAATAAAGATTTAACACGTGGTCATTAAATGGACTGCATGATTGCCAGACATAGTATACATGCTGTGCAGTTGTGGCCCAATATGGATTCAAAAGTGTCCAGCAAAGCCATTTTATCACACATAAATTGTTTAGATACACTGGGAATACATGATCTCTCATCAAAAACTCAAACTTTTCCTTGATGGAGACCTCCCTTCTAGTTGAGGCCATAGCTCCCTCACATATTCTCCCGACCTGGTCACTTTCCTCATTGGTTGGCGCATATTGCAACAGTTCATGGGGGTCCCTTTATGGGTATCGAGCCTCGTATTGGTATGTCCTGGAATCAGAACTTTATTTTAGGTTACAACCAATATTAAAATCCAAATATGTTGAAAATTGCCACCTATTTGAAGAGATCTATCTAAATGAAATTTCTGTGAGATGTATTTGCTGAGGAGAGCCCTCACCCCCACCCTGGTCTAACCGTCCAAGACCACTGGCATAACTGTTTGTGTATCAAATAATTGTATAAATACACATACATGCAATACGCCAGTGTGTAGTCCCATGAACATACTTGTGTAACTTACAGAGCAGTATTAAACCACAAGAGACTTGGAAATCGGTATATAATATAATAACACAGCATGTAACTGTCAATGGAAGTTTACCTGGGAAGTCTAGTACAGACAGACATATTTCTTTACTATCAGTAGTAGGCAAAGTCTTCGAACGTATGTAAAACACACACATAGTTATTTTCTAGAAAAAAAATCTATATTATACTTACCAATCAGGGTTTATGCCAAGTCACTCTACAGTGCACCAGCTAATTTAGATTTATCATAATATTTGTTTGAATATGGAAGGACAGAAACATACGTGTATTCCGTCTTTGCGTATTGCAGAGTTATCTTCTCTTGGTAGCATGTATTGATTGTTACGTCATTGGTTTGTGCGGGAAAATTAACTCGTTTTCTCAAAAATTGATGAAGTTACTCTCACAAACAAGTGACGTAACAATCAATACCTGCTCCCAAGAGAAGATAACTCTGCCATACGCAAAGACGGAATTGTCTTTTGTGACATCTGAAAGGACTTTGATAGAGTTTGGCACAGAGGTCTTATAGCAAAGCCAAATGTAAAAAGCATTTGGTATTTCAGATAATATTTTAAAATGGCTAGAGAATTATATTAAGGACAGAAAACAAAACGTTTTTATCCACGAATATTACTCTGATAATCAGGTTTTGAGGGCAGGGGTGCCTCAAGGTTCAGTGCTAGGGCCCTAGTTGTTTTTAATCTTTATTAATGATACAGTTGATAAATTATTAAGTGTGTCTCGACTGTTTGCAGACGACACATAAATGATGTATGCCTCTTCTTCTTGTATAGAAATTGAAATTGTAATTAATCATCACCTGAAATGCGTAGACGATTGGTCAAAACAATGGCTAGTTACATTTAATCCGAACAAAGCCAAACAAAATTATTTATCTCTAATAAAATACATATTTTGAACTGTATTTTAACGAGACAATTCTGCAATTCTCAGAAAACCATAGGCATTTGGGTGTGACTCTCAGCTCTAATGCTAAGTGGGGTGATCATATAGAAAATGTATATCAGTCAGCGTTGAAAAATGTAAACGCTTTAAGAAAATTAAAATATTTAATAAATAGAAAAGTACTTCGTAAAATGTGTTTATATTTTTTACTTCCAACATTGGAATATGCTTGTGAACTTTGGAGCGGTTGTTCTAAATTTGATATCGATTTACTAGAAAAGCTTCAACTAGAAGCGGCTAGAGTTGTTACAGGATTGCCTAGGTATGCTAGTAAACAATCTTCATATTTTGAAATTGGATGGGAAACTTTAATAAGTAGAAGAGAAAAGAGAAAACTTTACTTTTTTACAAAATGCATAACAAACTGACACCATCATACCTGTATACATTACTATTTGGTTTAGGTGGAGAAAGACACCCCTACTCATTGAGAAATAATATCAATTACTTTATTCCTTGTCACAATCTTACAAGTACTAGATTATATTTTTTACCAACAACTACCAGATTCTGGAATAGCCTCGCGGAAACTGTCAGGAACCAGCCAACTTTGAATACTTTTAAAAACTATATACATAAAGATCACAAGATACCTCCGCTCTATTTAATTACGGAACTCGTCATCTTAATATTCTACTAACTAAATTGAGACACAACTGCAGTGCACTAAATACTTATCTTTATCATGTAAACTTAACTGATTTTCCATCGTTGCTTGTAGTTACCCCTGTTAAAACTCGTACCATTTTTGTATGGAATGTCCACTTTATAGTACCATAAGAAATGATATATTGATTAAGTTGCGTCGGTATCATCCATTACATTTAGATACGCTTTTGCATGAAAAAAAGGAACGTTGTATCAATACGTGTGTAATTTTGATCACCAGTATTATTTATCAAAACCTGTAAATATAAATTATTTAAAACAAATATGTAAAATTCGTATGTCTGCACATAAGTTAAATACTGCGTGTGGCAGATATAACAGAACTGAAAGACGAAACAGATTGTGTATGTGACCTGAATGATGCCGAGGATGAGTTCCATTTCATTTTAAAATGTCCTTGCTATATTGATATAAGGTTGAAACTAATTAAGAAATATAATGTAAGACACACAAGCATGTATAAATTAATTCAACTACATTGTACTCAATCGTGAGAATATATCAGACATTAGAAATCTTGGCAAGTATTTAATACAAACAAACAAAAGGAGATCTGAGCTGATTGCTGGTTAGTGTTCACTCTCCAAAGTGTGTGTGTGTGTAAGTATCATATTGTATGTTGTCTTTGTATCATGTTGTTCTGTATATATGTTAAAAATGATAAGTCAACCGACTAAAAGTAATAAAGAACTTGAAGTATTAAAGGTAATATGAAAATAGAAAATAAAAAAGGTGAAACAGTTCCGGATTTCAGAAATTAATTTCATAGCAAAGTAACATCTGTATTCCAGTGTTAATAAATTATTTAACTATGATGTGTTATCTTTTGTACTTTTCCAACTTCTAACAAACCAAATTACTTATGATGATTTTATAACACTTTTACCGAGTAAGTTTCAAGACATTAACAGTATGTATATGATGAGCCACTCCAACGATGTTTTGAATGTTTGGAAATATATACATGCATTTGTAAGCGTGACGTATCAAACCATTCTGAAATGTTATTGTTAAGTGTTTAACATAAATGCATTGCAGGTAAGCTAGTTTATTTCTGTAAATTTTGGTTATGTAAAATTATATACGTATAAGCTAAGCCACTATACGTAAAAGAAATGTTATTCTAGATACAAAATTGTGATGGTAATGTTTCTTCTGTATCTGTCCATTAATAAAACAAGCACATCACAACATAAGAATGATGTTAATTGTTGATAAAAAAAAAAAAGAAACATGCATAGTACACATGCATTGATTTAACTTTAGTGATAAACAACTCGCTCTCACAAGTCTTAACTCTAAAAATAGATTTCGTATTCGAGTGGGCTACTATGATGCTGTATCTTTTCGCGGCGGAAAAACCGAACTGAATGACCGCGACTAGAAATATTTATTATTCTTAATGCAATAAAGACCATGGGAAGTGATGATAAAGGAAATGCGCAGAAAGGATGGCAATGTGTGTGAATGCGTGATGTATACCATCAAATGATGTGACAGAAAATAATAAAACAATAGCAATTTCCTGTCACCTGAAAACTAACGGGACAATTTGCATACTGTCGTTGTATCTTGGGTCACCTTTGTGGTTGGATGTAAATTAGATGTGGCCGCTCCCATGGTGTAGGACGTCACAAGGTACAGTTCTGGTGTTTCTCGGTCAAGTAAGTCATTCAGTTACTTCTAGTTCGGGAGTTAAGAGTATATATATATAAAAATAAAGCAAAACATTGACTGAGGTATATATTTATCAGTATGGTTCAAAAAACAAATTTTGATGATGATATTATAACTGAACTAATGCAAATAAATCAAAATGATTCTCGATTTATAGTTAAAATCATTCGATTAGGCCTATTATGTGTGAAGTTTCAACACAAATTCAATATGCACATATCATGTTACATTGTATAACAGTGAGAACATATATAGAGATGTTCTCCGACATGCACTTCTAGTTTATATCTACATTTAAATTAGTACCGGGTTCATCAGGAACATGATACATTTTGCGTCAATTGCACAGTAAACAACATAATGACTGGGTGACGCAAATTGCCCACCCAGACCGCTTCAACTCAATCGCGTAGACCTAGTGTAATATCATACAGTACACAGTCTGGGCACTGAGGTTAACCCAACAGCATAACAGTGCTGATAACTAAAATAGTTTTTCTTTCTCTTTTAACAGAAATATACGTTATCTAGCTAAAAATTCAATAAAAAACCATTATAATGATAAGAGAATATGTCAATGATTTAGAATATGTTATGTATAATGCCGAATGTTGTTGAACATATCTTTCGTTCAAGCCAACAGAGCTTGGGACTGCTGATACGAAAAAGATAAATTTAATGAGACTACTTGACTTATTTTCGCATAACAACAATTCACGTTTGTACATAAAAAGGTGGTTCCCATTCTTTTATCAGTCAAGGAGTCAGCTGAAGTCCGGTTACTTTTAACTGTTGTGCTGGTGTAGCTAAACACGAAGTACTGTTGTTGATATTTGGTGATACATGCTAATCAAATTAAAACATAAAAGAAATCGATGCATACAAAATAACAAGATTTCAAATGACCATGAAATGTTTGCGATATATTCCGAAAATCTTGCGATAATTTAAGGCTTTCATGTGATGGGTGCTGAGTAGCTCGCAACACAACTTTCAACACACATGTTCATTGACTGAGAAAGACGGAATACGGCTATACAGAGGCACCATATACATTCGCATGCTACAATAGAACGTAAATAAATATAAACTTTATTTATATACAACAATTATGAAACAAGTTATTACTGATATGTATCCCTCTTGTTGGTCCGGATGTAAGCGCGCATGAGGTATAACTGTTTAAGGAAAACGGAGTTCCCTGAGAAAACGACGTGGTCGGGCAGGTGACCCAATACTTTGACGTCTGAATCGAACCCCGGCCGCCTTAGTGAAAGACAAGTGCGCTATCCACTGCAACACCCGACCACCCGACCACCCGACCTACCGATCAATGGACCGTTTGTTATCTAAAGCCCATATCATCCTCCTTTCTCTCTCGTTCAATGCTAAAACTATGATTTTTATGTACTTTGTCATCACAATGTCCCAGATTATTTCTATCAGTGTAAACCGTCTGCAAAAAGTAAGATTTTTTGTATCATTACTGTTATTAATAGTTATGTTACGCTTTATAGAATTGGCCAAAATCCACAACTTTCCGAAAGTGACACATTATTATTTAGACTAAGTAAATTGGCATTAGTATTTTGTTTTCAAAAGAATGTCAATTATTGTCAAATTGTTCAAAATTCTGGCAAGAAGAAGCATGAATGATGTAATACGTTATATCTTTATATGATTAATTCTATTGTTGAATTTATTTGCTAAATATTTCAAAAGCTGTTGGTATTCCAAAGGGAAAGCATGGGTACCTCTCCTTTGTGTACTTTTCTATTCTTATAAAATTGAATTGAAAATAAATACAAATTTAAGAAGAAAGCGAGGATAGCTTCACTCTCATTTACTTTCGAATTCAAATAATTCCAAGAATATTATTTTTGTTGATGATCCGATATAGTAGATGACCACTTACATACAATTCCGGAGGACTTGTTTCACCTCTATGTTTCTGTAAAGGTGTCTGGTCTTTGTCCATATTATTTTGACACTTTGTCGGCTCCTGTTGTCTTTTCGTGTTGAAATTTTCCATTATAGCTAGCCTTGTCTGTCACTACACCACACTATATAACATGGGTGTTGACAGACGAGACTAGTACCTGTGATAGGTGCGACAGAGTTGACGGTTTGGTTTTTCTCGTCAGAATGTGTATGCCAGATACTCCTTATCGCCAGCCTCACATGATCATGATAGCTTTATAAACCAGTAGAGATTTCAATACCTCATCTTATGGTAAAGGTGCTCACTTTACTTAACTTTGACCGTTTATATGTATAAAAATTGTTAGAACGATAACCGTTACTTATTGTAAATTTCGTTTATAAAAATGCAATGGGTAATATTGTACGCATTGTAGAAGACATAACAGATTAGATTCCACTTATGTAATATATTGTATACTTATTATAAAATATTTATAGTGCTATACAACTTATTTAATATATTGTATACTTAATATAAATTTTAATAGAGTGCTATACAACTTATGTAATATATTGTATACTTATTATAAAATATTTATAGTGCTATACAACTTATGTAACATATTGTATACTTAATATAAATTTTAATAGAGTGCTATACAACTTATGTAATATATTGTATACTTGATATAAAATATCAATAGTGCTATACAACTTATTTAATATATTGTATATTTAATATAGAATATCAATAGTGTTATACAACTTATGTAATATATTGTGTACTTAATATATACTATCAATAAAGTGCTATACAACTTATTTAATATATTGTATACTTAATATAGAATATCAATAGTGTTATACAACCAATGTAATATATTGTGTACTTAATATAAAATATCAATTGAGTGCTATATAACTTATTTTATATATTGTATACTTAATATATAATATTATTTCAGTGCTATATAACTTTTTTAATATAATGTATACTTAATATATACTATCAATAAAGTGCTATACAACTTATGTAATATATTGTATACTTAATATGAAATATCAATTGTGCTATATAACTTATGTAATATATTGTATACTTAATATAAAATAGCAATTCAGTGCTATACAACTTATGTAATATATTGTATACTTAATATAAAATATCAATTCAGTGCTATACAACTTATGTAATATATATATTGTATACTTAATATAAAATATCAATAGTGCTATACAACTTATGTAATATATTGTTTACCTAATATAAAATATCAATAGTGCTATACAACTTATGTAATATATTGTACACTTAGTATAAAATATCAATAGAGTGCTATACAACTTATTTAATATATTGTATACTTAATATAAAATATCAATAGAGTGCTATATAATATATGATGTCAATATTGTATTTTGTAATTCAGAGTTTGTGAAAGTTTACCAATAGCTCAACAACTATTAACTGTCGCGAACAACCCCAAACCAAACAGACACGGGTCCTTCATATTCTTAGAAAAGATCACTCCTTTCAAACGTCGATACACGAATTGTTGCATCACGTGATTTGAGATGAGCAATATCTTGATAAATGAAAGCAGGGGTAGAAGTATGAAACAATTCGTATAAAGCCAGGAGATAGGAGATATAAAGCCAGGAGATAGGAGATATAAAGCCAGGAGATAGGAGATATAAAGCCAGGAGATAGAAGATATAAAGCCAGAAGATAGGAGATATAAAGCCAGGAGATAGGAGATATAAAGCCAGAAGATAGGAGATATAAAGCCAGGAGATAGAAGATATAAAGCCAGGAGATAGAAGATATAAAGCCAGAAGATAGGAGATATAAAGCCAGAAGATAGGAGATATAAAGCCAGGAGATAGGGGATATAAAGCCAGGAGATAGGGGATATAAAGCCAGAAGATAGGAGATATAAAGCCAGGAGATAGAAGCAGGTATGCGTAACTTAAATATTATAACTTATAATTAACTCTGGAAGAAGATGCCGTTTAAAGCCATGTTTTCAACTTCTGGGAATATAAGTTGGGAAAATGATAGACGCAAATGTATTTATGTCTGGTACAGTCGCATACCCCTGTGTGATTATATCTAAGAAATGTTTGATGGTTCAACCATCCGATACTATTTTGAAATAGTTTAAGATGAAAATAGTTTTGATATGCATAATCAGTAACGTTCTTGCATTCGGTATCAATTGAATTTTCTTTAAAATTGTATTTTGCTTTGTAATTAAGCAAGAAAAAATAAGACGTGGAAGGTTGCAGGCGACACGTATTTGTGTTGTAGCTAAACTCTTCCCTGCATATAAGAGGTAGCCACAAAAGCTATGACGCTGAAGGTTTCCATACATTTGTAGATGTTAATTGCTGGAGTAGTACGTCAGTCATCCACTTCATCAGGCCGGTTATGAATGAAAATTATTCAGATTTATATTTTGTGATAATGTTTGTCATCTCAAGCACCAATTACATGCCTCACAGTGGCCATTAAACAGGGACGACGTTCGTAAAACAGCAAAATTCAAATAAAAAGGGCATTCCACTCGTTGAAGAAGAGGTATACAGTTTGTGCAAAGTTTTCCTGAGTTTTCCATTCACTAGAACGTGGGAAGTTTCGTTTTACTGGAGTACTGTGTCTATGTGTGATATCGACCAACTGTCATCTAAAACCTAAGGTGAGAGTGATGGTTTATTGTACTAGCATGATCACTCTATCACATACACGGGATTGTTTTTTAAAATAAATGCACCTTATAATTTTTTGAAAATTGAAAACAATCTCATGTATTTGTTATTTCATTGGTGATATATATATAAATGTATGTATAACTATATGTGTTTGTTTGAATTCTTCATAACATTTTATTTTGTTTATTTTAATTTGATTAATGTATTTATTTCGATAAAGAAAATAGATATATGAGTATAAACGGGAATACATTTTTTGGTCGGTATGTTACAAGTAATAATGGACTTATCAATTTTTCTATTTGTTCATGTTAGACCAGCATCACACTTGTTAGAGGGAAGCAATTTAACAAATTTAATGCGTCGTACGCATGGATATTCAGAGAAATTGTTATTCTCCTGCCCACACAACTCCATCAACCCAGGTGGAGTATAAATTGGTCTGGGGTGGATGTTGCGATATTTGTGCTCTAGCGTTCAAGTGAGGTGGCACTACAAATAATGCTATTGGAAGCACGGTCCCATTACAAACAGAACGACGCATTACATCTCCAGCACACACGCAGGCATACACACATAGGGAGATATAAGCCAGGTGGCATAGGACTAGTAGTTAGCGCCTGATAAGGCAGCTCCTACGAATTCCTCAAAATTGAATTGATTAATGTACATTGTGTATATGCTAATTGTAATAATCTATGTACTGTAAAGCTCTTTTTAGTGGCTTCTGTTAGCTCGATAGGGCGCTATATCAAATGCTGTATATTATTATCAAAACATGGAATAATGATAAGGTAGAGAGTTAAAGTTAGTGTCTAAAAGTGAACGGTATCTTGTGACAAGAAAAGCTTGCTTTATTTTATGTTTTTGTTAATAGAAAGCTGCTGTAAAGAATGAAGACGTGGATATTTCTTTACCTTACTATTGGGACAGTCTCCGTTTTACATGCTGGGAATGAACCTAGCCTTCGTGAAGTTTTAAGTAAGTATTTATTTAGTTCATACACAATTTTACATTTCAATTTCTTATCTCACAATGTGGAAATACCCAGCCAAACATTGCATCATTTACAGTTACAGTTACAACGTTTCTGAAAACCTGTTTTTATGGATGTGTACACAAAACATCCGGAATCATTTTACAGCTTTATATAGAATTAAAAAGCGGTGTGACATATAGCTTCATTGTCTTCTAATATACCTGGTGTAATACCAATATGGATTTTAATGTAGATGTTCAACGAAATAATTAAAAAACTCACATTTTGTTTTTCAGACGATCTGTGCATGTTGCCCCTACCTACGGAACAGGGATTATGTAGTACCCGCCTATCGTGGTATGGTTACGACGCAGAAACTAGAAGATGTCGCCATTTTGTATACGGCTGTGGCAACAGGAGGAGAAACATGTTTAGTTCCATAATATTGTGTTGGAGACTTTGTGAATATCAGTTTAATAGGCGGTGACAATAACAGTATATGGAATAAAAGGAATAACATTTTATATTACGACACGATTAATTTGTGTCGTGAGATTAAGCGAGTTCGTACATTTGAGGATATGGACGAAACAGGTGCCCGAGACTTTAGGTGAGGAGGAGTTATGTGGAGGAATACAAAAGTAGCCGTGGCCGTTTTTGAGAAAGTTAGTGGAAGGACGCTGATATATGTTCGACATTTTGAAGACCTCTTGTAGGTGGAGATTTACTGTAAATATCAACAGACGTACATTGTAGAGGCTCGCTAAATTTAACAAGCGGCCCATAGACCTTAACGGTCACCTGAGTCCTACAGTATTTATTTTTGTTGTTGAAATATGTATCAATTTAAGTAAAATATAGTTAAGTATAACGTTAACTTAAGTTTGTCATGACCATGAGCTGATCATTCCTAGACCGAGTTACAGTTAAATCGGCCTATTAGAACTTGTTTTTAAGTTTGAAATAGTTATTTTCAAAATAGCGGCCGCGGCAGCCAAATTGGATTTCTGATCGACCCGAAAAATAACAAAACTTCATCAGGACCATGAGTGAATCATTCATACAAAGTTTCAGTTTCATCGGCCAATTAGAACTTGACTTTAGGTTTGAAATAGTTTTTCAAAATGGCGGCTGTGTCGGCCATATTGGATTTCTGATCGACCCGAAAAATAACAACACTTTGTCAGGACCATGAGTCGATCATTCCTACCAAGTTTTAGTTCAATCGGCCCAGTAGAACTTGACTTTAAGTTTGAAATAGTTTTTCAAAATGGCGGCCGTGTCGGCCATATTGGATTTCTGATTGACCCTAGAAATGTCAACACTTTGTCAGGACCATGAGTTGATCATTCCTACCAAGTTTCAGTTCAATCGGCCCAGTAGAACTTGACTTTAAGTTTGAAATAGTTTTTCAAAATGGCAGCCGTGGCGGCAATATTGGATTTCTGATCGACCCAAAAAAATTACAACACTTTGTCGGACCATGAGTCGATCATTCCTATTAAGTTTCAAATCAATCGGCCCAGTAGAACTTGACTTTAAGTTTGAAATAGTTTTTCAAAATGGCAGCCGTGGCGGCAATATTGGATTTCTGATCGACCCGAAAAATAACAACACTTTGTCAGGACCATGAGTCGATCATTCCTATTAAGTTTCAGTTTAATCGGCTCAGCAGAACTTGACTTTAAGTTTGAAATTGTTTTTTTCAAAATGGCAGCCGTGTCGGCCGTATTGGATTTCTGATCGAACCGAAAAATTACAACTCTTTGTCGGACCATGAGTCGATCATTCCTATTAAGTTTCAATTCAATCGGCCCAGTAGAATTTAACTTTAAGTTTGAAATAGTTTTTCAAAATGGCGGTCGTGTCGGCCATATTGGATTTGTGATCGACCCGAAAATAACAACACTTTGTCAGGACCATGAGTCGATCATTCCTACAAAGTGTCAGTTCAATCAGCCGAGCAGAACTTGCCTTTAAGTTTGAAATAGTTTTTCAAAATGGCGGCCGTGTCGGCCATATTGGATTCCTGACCCTAAAAACAAAAACACTTTGTCAGGACCATGAGTCGATTATTCCTACCAAGTTTCAGTTCAATCGGCCCAGTAGAACTTGACTTTAAGTGTGAAATAGTTTTTCAAAATGGCGGCCGTGTCGGCTATATTGGATTTCTGATCGACCCGAAAAATAACAACACTTTGTCAGGACCATGAGTCGACCATTCCTACCAATTTTCAGTTCAATCAGCCGAGCAGAACTTGACTTTAAGTTTGAAATAGTTTTTTTCCCAAATGGCGGCCGTGTCGGCCATATTGGATTTCTGATTGACCCTAGAAATGTCAAAACTTTGTCAGGACCATGAGTCGATCATTCCTATTAAGTTTCAGTTCTATCGGCCCAGTAGAACTTGACTTTAAATTTGAAATAGTTTTTCGAAATGGCGGCCATGTCGGCCATATTGGATTTGTGATCGACCCGAAAAATAAAAACACTTGGTCAGGGATATGTCAGTAACCTTCCCATGAAATATTAATGAAATCCTTCTGTCAGTATTTCAGCTTAAGTTGAAAATATAATATGTTAACGGAAGACGCACGACGCACGACGACGGACGAAGACGAATAGCAATAGTTCACTTGAGCTAAAGCTCAGGTGACCTAAACATTCTTAGACTCGTTTCATAAATCTCATATGAAAACTCATGTTAGCTCCTATATGTATCACTCGAGTGGCTACGATTCATAAATGTGTGCATTCCGTTTGTATGGAGAATATGTGTACTGGTATTTAAGGAACAAACGACCTATCATGTAATGGTATTACAATGACAAACTGTCGTGTTGTGTAGCTGCACAGCAATTCTAAGTTATAGAAACATCGTACGGTGAACATGACATCGTGTAGTTATATGTTGTTGGTGTACAGCTTAATTCGTATTTGGGTATCGCTTACTACACGTACAGTGATCAAATCTTGAGTGTATGGAAGGGAAAAGGGGAGGAGAATAGATTTGCTTTACACTTATATATTATGCATATGTACATTGTGATAATACTTAAGATATTTCTTTTCTTAAAATGATGAATTGCGCTGTAACTCCAACAGAAATGAGGTATGAAAACAAGTTTTTTAGAGTAACACATTTTAGTTTTCTGGGTTTAATCATACAGTAGGACTGCGCGCTTCAATGGAATTCCGGTTTCCTTATACATTAGGACTGCGCGCTTCAATGGAATTCCGTTTTACTTATACATAAGGACTATGCGCTTCAATAGAATTCCGGTTTCCTTATACATACATGTAAGGACTGCGCGCTTCAATGGAATTCCGACTTCTTTATGCATTAGGACTGCGCGCTTCAATGGAATTCCAGATTCCTTATACATTAGGACTGCGCGCTTCAATGGAATTCTGGTTTCCTTATACATTAGGACTGCGCGCTTCAATAAAATTCCGGTTTCCTTATAAATTAGGACTGCGCGCTTCAATGGAATTCCGTTTTACTTATACATTAGGACTGTGCGCTTCAATAGAATTCCGGTTTCCTTGTACATACATGTAAGGACTGCGCGCTTCAATGGAGAATTCCGGTTTCCTTATACATTAGGACTGCGCGCTCCAATGGAATTCCAGATTCCTTATACATTAGGACTGCGCGCTTCAATGGAATTCCGTTTTACTTATACATAAGGACTGTGCGCTTCAATAGAATTCCGGTTTCCTTATACATACATGTAATGACTGCGCGCTTCAATGGAATTCCGACTTCCTTATGCATTAGGACAGCGCGCTTCAATGGAATTCCAGATTCCTTATACATAAGGACTGCGCGCTTCAATGGAATTCCGGTTTCCTTATACATTAGGACTGCGCGCTTCAATAAAATTCCGGTTTCCTTATACATTAGGACTGCGCGCTTCAATGGAATTCCGGTTTACTTATACATAAGGATTGTGCGGTTCAATAGAATTCCGGTTTCCTTATACATACATGTAAGGACTGCGCGCTTCAATGGAATTCCGACTTCCTTATGCATTAGGACTGCGCGCTTCAATGGAATTCCAGGTTCCTTATACATTAGGACTGCGCGCTTCAATGGAATTCCGGTTACCTTATACATTAGGACTGCGCGCTTCAATGGAACTCCGGTTTCCTTATACATTAGGACTGCGCGCCTCAATGGAATTCCGTTTTACTTATACATAAGGACTGTGCGCTTCAATAGAATTCCGGTTTCCTTATACATACATGTAAGGACTGCTCGCTTCAATGGAATTCCGACTTCCTTATGCATTAGGACAGCGCGCTTCAATGGAATTCCAGATTCCTTATACATAAGGACTGCGCGCTTCAATGGAATTCCGGTTTCCTTATACATTCGGACTGCGCGCTTCAATGGAATTCCGTTTTACTTATACATTAGGACTGGGCGCTTCAATAGAATTCCGGTTTCCTTATACATACATGTAAGGACTGCGCGCTTCAATGGAAATCCGACTTCCTTATGCATTAGGACTGCGCGCTTCAATGGAACTCCGGTTTCCTTATACATTAGGAGGACTGCGCGCTTCAATGGAATTGGGGCACTCAGCTATATTACTATCATAATACACCTAAGTTTGGCCTGTTTTCAATAGAAATTTAATAACTAATTTCTAATATAAAAATTACCCCTTAAAAAAATTGTGAATATGTAATAATATTACATAACATCTATAATTAGATATTACAGTTTTAGACATTACTATAAAAAATAAAATAATTATATATGTCCTAACCCAATACCGAGCCGGAGCAATGTAGCCAAAGAGTTACAGCCAGCTCGAGTTTACGGGTGGCGACACCAAATTGTCCCATAGTTACCTAATGTCGCACTGGAGCAATATAGCCAAAGAGTTACAGCCAGTCCGCAAAAGGTAACATTTTAAATTTAATTGTAACACGTAAGATGCTTTTCTTCATCCGGTTTGGTATAGCAAGGTATACATAGGAGTAGTCTCGGTAACAACAAAGTTTGTACGACTACGGATAGTATACTCGCACTCAACTCAGTATTGCAGCTAAGTCTGCAGAACTGAACAACAGAGGCAATCAGTCACTATTTGTAGCAAACAGGACTTTGTCTCCACAGCTACAAATCCCAGCTGCCAACTGAGTTGAAGAATAGTTTCAACAATAAAAAGTCTATATGCTGAGTTCGCCCCAAAATGCCAATATGATGTTTTTTATGTACTTGATGTATTTCTGTATACAATTATACTTGTGCATGATTATGGATGTTTTCTGATATGTATGTACGGTAGGATATTAATTAAATGTGTGTACAAAATCTATCTTGCTGTTATTTGTTAATTTAAACATACATGTGAGGGCTGCGCGCTTCAATGGAATTCCGGTTTCCTTATACATTAGGACTGCGCGCATCAATGGAACTCCGGTTTCCTTATACATGAGGACTGCGCGCTTCAATTGAATTCCGGTTTCCTTATGCATTAGGACTGCGCGCTTCAATGGAACTCCGGTTTACTTATACATTAGGACTGCGCGCTTCAATGGAAATCCGGTTTCCTTATACATTAGGACTGCGCGTTTCAATGGAATTCCGGTTAACTTATGCATTAGGACTGCGCGCTTCAATGGAATTCTGGCATCCTTATACATAAGGACTGCGCGCTTCAATGGAATTCCGGTTTCCTTATACACTAGGACTGCGCGCTTCAATGGAATTCGATTTCCTTATACATTAGGACTGCGCACTTCAATGGAACTCCGGTTTACTTATACATTAGGACTGCGCTCTTCAATTGAATTCCGGTTTACTTATGCATTAGGACTGCGCGCTTCAATGGAATTCTGGCATCCTTATACATAAGGACTGCGCGCTTCAATGGAATTCATTAGGACTGCGCGCTTCAATGGAATTCCGGTTTCCTTATACATACATGTACGGGCTGCGCGCTTCAATGGAATTCCGGTTTCCTTATACACTAGGACTGCGCGCTTCAATGGAATTCAGGTTTCCTTATACATTAGAACTGTGCGCTTCAATGGAGCTCCGGTGTACTTATACATTAGGACTGTGCGCTTCAATAGAATTCCGGTTTCCTTATACATACATGTACGGACTGCGCGCTTCAATGGAATTCCGGTTTCCTTATACATACATGTACGGGCTGCGCGCTTCAATGGAATTCCGGTTTCCTTGTACATTAGGACAGCGCACTTCAATGGAACTCCGGTTTACTTATACATTAGGACTGTGCGCTTCAATATAATTCCGGTTTCCTTATACATACATGCACGGGCTGCGCGCTTCAATGGAATTCCGGTTTCCTTGTACATTAGGACTGCGCGCTTCAATCGAGGCCAACAATTAAAGAGTGATAAACATAACTTAGACAACTTGTTTCACAATTGTTGAAATAGATAAAGTTTATACCATATAAATAATAATATATCATAATATTACACTAATACAGCTATACACGTAACAGACCAAACACCACAAAATAAAGAGAAATTGATCTTTTATATGAGTAAATCAGATATTTTTATAAAACATGCATCACTCGCTCTCTCTCGTCCTTGTACCAAATATAGACGTATAGAAGTAGCCATTACTACAAACATACTCAGATCCGATACACCTTTAAGGTTGTAATTAGATCGCCGTATAGCGACAAGTTTGGGATTCCCTCTGAAATTTATTTCATTACTAGCAATTATTTGTTTATTATAGTTTTCAAGCGTTTCCAATCTTACTAAGGCGGACTTTTTAGACAGGTTTAAAAATTCTTGTACTCAGTATGCATGAGTTTTGACATATGGTTAATATCACAATTAGGAATTCTCAAGATCTGGACTGTAATGGTTAGTTGACGTCATTCTGTGGTTGGATTTAATCTGTTCAGATATGGGTCATATGCCAATGCGTAAATGCTAATCTGACACACATTTGATGGTGACGTAAAGACACCATCGTCAAGGATAATTACCTTACACTCACAAACGAGACGAATGTTTGATATAAATGTCCAGTAATTTAAGTCTAGACACACGCAACTAATTGTTGTACTTTAGCAGCAGTTCACTCTATTTCTTACAGTGTTCTATATCGGAACGACTCGGTTGTCATCATCAGAAGTTTGTTCACTTGTATATGGCAAGCCAACTTAACATTTATTCAAGGAGCAATGTCGATCCTGTATTTCATCGAATTATATAAGATATCTTATATATTATATAAGATATCTCATATAGTATATAAGATATCTTATATACGATATAAGATATCTTATATACTATATGAGATATCTTTTATAATATATAAGATATCTTATATCCTATATGAGATATCTCATATAGAAATTAAATGAGAAATCTTATATAAGAATATAAGATATCATATATACTATATAAGATATCTTATATCGCATATAAGATATCTCATTTAATTTTCTATATAAGATATCTCATATAATATATAACATATCTCATATAGCTATATAAGATATCTTATATAATTGAAATCTCGTTGCTATATAAGATATCTGATATAGAATGAGATTTCGTGGCATTAAAAACCAGAAACTAATTTTTCCCTCGAGAATCATTCGGAGCACATTCAGGATTGCATTGGGCGCAATGGCGGAGAGGGATGGTACGGATGCTGTATTTACCCTAGGCCTAGCTCGCCTTGTCTCTCTTATAGCGGCCAAAGCAGAGGCTGCCATTTCCCGCACTCTTGAAGTGGGCTCAGACATAATGGCGGCGACAGGAACACGTGTTGTTACAACAAGCCTACTGTCCCTACGTAGATCCTCGAGATATTCCGGACGGGGAGACTTCATTTTCGACATTTTGTTAAAATCTCGTTCCTATATAAGATATCTTATTTAGTAACGAGACTTTAATTATATAAGATATCTTATATAGCTATATGAGATATCTTATATATTATATAAGATATCTTATATAGAAAATTAAATGAGATATCTTATATACGATATAAGATATCTTATATATCATATAAGATATCTTATATAGCATCTCATTTAATTTCTATATAAGATATCTCATATAGTATATAAGATATCTTATATATTATATAAGATATCTCATATACTATATAAGATATCTCATATACTTTATGAGATATCTTATATACGATATAAGATATCTTATATATTTTTTTGAAATACAGGATCGACATTGCTCCTTGAATAAATGTTAAGTTGGCTTGCCATACTTGTAGCTGCACATATTGATACAAACAACTGGGATATATTACGTGATGTAAATGAAGGACATTTATGGCGGTATTGTATTAAAAAAATGACATTTTTATTTTTTCTGTAAACAAAACTTCAGTGTAGAGATGTGTACAATAGGAATATATCAAATAATCATACATACATTCGTATAAATCTATATGAGTATATAAAAAGAAGAATTTTTGCATATAGATAGTAATTTTAGTAACAGATTTTTCAATTAAAAAATTTCTTTAATAAAATTGTATATTTCGTTTCTCTGTAATATCGAGACACAATGTTACTGCCTTGCTTTTCGCCTACAAATAGATATTGATATTAATTTATTAATTCATATCATGTGTATATATTACATCTACCGTTTTACGTATCAATAATAGAGCAGACCTTGGGAAGGGGCAGTGTTTTTACGATACGTCATGTAGGCTAAAACTTCGAGTTGCCATAGTCTATTTCAACATCAAATATACCGAACCTTAAATTGAAAATGACATGTATTGAAACCTATCAGTGTTTATATTTATATCAAGAGCAGGCAGTATGTTCAAAGAAGTCTTGCTTAGTTAACAAATAATTTCATATATGATGATATCATCCTAGCGTTGATGATAACACTACATTACCATGTGAAAGATTCTTTCAATAAGCGGTTGTTTTTGTAGGTTCATTAAGAAGAATTTAAACAAAATCACGTCGAAGCAAATTTGTATGCATATATTAATTTGATTAAAGGATTTTAATTCTGTATACATGACATTTAATTTTTGATTTTTTCTAAATTAACATTTATTCGAAATGTCACACACTTTAAATACAATGGTATATCTGGTTTTGAAAACAAACTAACACATTACATCAATTCCATTTTTCTTCCATTGTTTACGTTTATAAAATAAGTATGAATCAGCTCGGGGAAGACTCGAGATGATAATGAATCTAGTGTTTACAGCTAGCTGGTGTAAGGTCACGTCTGTCAGAATCAGGGATACTTTAGTAAACAGGTTCAAGGCCTTACCACCCAAAGCTGTATCGGCTGTTAACACACTCAACTCGTGTGTTTAGTGTTTTGGTTTGGATTCACGTGCGAGATAAATGAAAACCTGATATATTTACAGGGTTTTTGTTAAGTTTTCTTCAAGTGACAGCAAGCGCGCGGAAGACATCATTCTAGCGACCACAAATCAATGTTCACGATACAGTGAGTTTGCGTGTTTAAACCCCACAATCTCAACTCGGGCCGCAAATTCCATACTGCAAACGTTTTTTATTTTTGAAGTAATTCTGCGCGAAATCCTACAATCTTCGTATCGTTTTGGTATAACCGTTGCAATACAATTAAGAGACCACGTTCAATAAACAAATACGTTAAGGCTATCTTGTAGGTGATATTCACTGTAACTTCGTGACTATTCATTATCTATAATATTGCACACCCATACAGCATACAATGTTTATGTTGGTTAACAGTTCTGCCGTTCAACAACAATATTCAGCCGAACTTTGAATGAAAAATAAAATTTAGAAAAAAGTCATAATTTCTCCAAATTTTTTAAATGTTCTTGCGGAAACCTGGATTATTTTCCCCAATTAAATATATTTCAGACTTGTTGTTAAAGCCTACTATAAGCACCAGTAGTTTCCCATGTTCCAAACACTATTTTTACGGTAAAGGTGTTTAGACATGCCATAACACAATACTAACAAGAGATCCCAGAGGGATCTTGGCGCCCACCTTTGTACCATCTTCATTAGTTCTTTGTCAGTTCGATCTTTTCTCTTCTTTCCTCTAATCTGTTTGATCGTGTCATGTTAACAGCACATTGAGGTAACTTTTGATCTAAACTTAATACTGATGTGTGTGAAAGCCAACCTTCAAAGTGGGTTTGTCATTTCACATATTTACTAGTACAGTACTTAATGTGAAAGAAATAGAATTTATCATTGCAATATGAGAAAGATCTGTTTAGTTCTTCTTTTAATCCATTTTGTTTTTATGATCAGTCTCAAAATATAACATGCACAACGAGGGATCAAGGGGAACCCACATTTAAAATTTGAGAAAGATCCCTCCCGTACTTCCCGAGAAATAGCGATAACAAACTTTCAATATCAAAAACAAAGATGGCTGCCTGTCGGCCATGTTGTTTATACGATCAGTCTCTAAAATTGCCCTGCACAGCTAGGACCAAGGGGAACATACATATAAAATTTGAGAAAGATCCCTCTAGCACTTCTTGAGAAATAGAGATAACAAACTTTCACTATCAAAATCCAAGATGGCTGCCTGTCGGCCATGTTGTTTAACCGATCAGTCTCAAAAGTTGCCCTGCACATGTACAGCTGTGGACCAAGGGGAACCTACATATAAAAT